CTGGCAGTGGCTACTTGCATCTACATTCATCTTTTCAGTAGCCACAAAATGAACAATGAACAGCAATCTTAGGTTTTGTTGTTATTACTGAAGTCATATAGATGAAGATGAATCCTGTTTGTTTTTTTTTTTTTTAGAGGTACAACTACCTGTACAGCAGTATGGAAACTGAGGAGCCTGCAACTTTAGTTCACACTGTGAAAGGCATGGAATTTTGTTGTAATAATTTAAAGTTAAGGTATTCACACAGTTAAAATATAGTTTATTTATATATCCTTCAAAACCCCCCCCCCCCCAATTTATAATTTCATTCTGGTGCCTTGTGTGTTTTATTGCTTGCATTCAATTATTCCACTGCTGTTCCCAGTTGTTTCCTATCGTTAACATTATGACTGTCTGTCTTGCGTCATTGTGCACCCCCCTTCACATTATCTCTTCAAGGTTTGAAGTTTCTTGTGCTTGCTTGATCTCAGACAACATCAGAACTATGAAACCTACTGTGTGCAAATTTGACTTTTTTTAATAAACTCCTTGAGTATTATCAACAGCTTCAGATGATTAACTAGTCCTCTGGATGTAAGTGTGTGCAAGTACTAGAAGCCTGTTTGTTCAAAGATACCTTAAATGAAAAATAAATTGTAAAAGGAGACCATATCCATAAGTAAAACCAAGAGGGGGGGAAGGGAGCAGAGTTAGAGTTGAGCTTTCAACCTTAATTCTGTATTTCAAGAGTTCTGAATGCTTCGTTTGTTAGCATTAGTGCTACACTAACTTAAAGTATTTTTCCATGGGAGTGTGTGTGTTTAACCAACTAAGCATGAAATCCCTTGCTTCTGTTTGTCCCTATTAAATAGTGGCAACAAAAGAAACAGACAGGAGATGGGTCCAGAACAAAGCAGAAATAATGGAGTATTTCACCCCAAAAAGGAGAGTGAAACGAGAAGTACAATGAGTAGGCAGAAACAGACTCAACAGCTGGAGGCAGTTTAATGTGTTGCAGGGAGTACTAATTCTGTTGCCCAGATCTTCAATCTGTGATCTCTGAGCAGCACATACATCAGAAGTGTTTGGCCATCCCTGCCATAAACACAGTATGCTTTTCCCAGAAGATATCTCCATAGGGCTTTAAAAGGACACTGTCTAGGGTTGTCAGCATAAATACTGGTGTGTCTAAAACCCAGAATCATCTTGTTGGGTTGGAAATCTGTGAGGAGGAGTAGAACTGGCTAGCTTCTTCCCTTAACTCTTAAAAAATGATTATACATGCGCATGCACCATTAGTGCACACTGAAGAGTAAAATGAAAGTAACAGTGCTACTGAATATTGCAATGATTTCTGCAGACTGCAGCACATGTAATAACTCCCTGTTTCCTGGATGAATCCATCCTTTTTTTTTCAAAAACTGATTAAATGCATACATTTGTAAAGGTACCTTATTGTTTTATTTTCAGTACTTAAAAATATGTTTCTTCATTAAAAAATGAATTCCTGACTCTCCCTGCCTGCCTCTCTTTTCATGTCTATTTCCCCATCCACTGGCTATAGCTTTAAGTGTGATATTCTCAAAAATTAGGAAAGCTGACAATTTGACATGTCATTTCCTTTATACTAAGTAACGTCTTACCCTGATAAGATGAGAAGGCTCAAAAAAATGTTCCATTTTTGTTTCTAGCAGTGGGGTCTGAGTACATGACCATGTCCTAAGCAACCTTTCACTGACTCTGCCAACTAGCTCTGCTTGACCCTGTATTTGCAGTAGTCCAATGTTTTCTTTTCTGTCTGCTCCAACACTTCCTCTAAGAGGCACTGTTTGGGTTTAGAGTTTGTTTTGTAATACCTAAAAGACATGATTTTATTGCCCATTGAGCAAATCAAGTTAGGGAACCAATGGAGGAGACTTCCAGGCCTATATCTGGCAAGTTAATTTGAGCTTCTTTTATGCCTTTTGGGTTGACTAAATGGAGTGGAAAGTATGCTGGTTTGGGAAAGAACTGACCACTAGTTGTGAATTAAGCAACTCTCTCAATGTTTTTGATGTATTCGTGTTTTGGAATTCTGGAATGACTTCTTCAGTTACTGGTACACTTTTCTTGCAGTTTTGTGGTTTTCAGAGTGCATTGTAGTATGTGATGACATCTTAAATAATGTGTAGCTGTAGTCCATGGTTATAAAATATTTCAGGATGCATTTCCTGTCTATAATGAAAGGCAGAATATAAAATGCAATTTTATTTGTGTGGTCTGTGACTTCTGAATTTTTTACTCCCCACAGATACTGTGTAGCTACTAGATGCAGCTGTCACAGTTGTGACAATAAAGGTTTAATCTCTATAATGGATGCTTAAATGGCCCTAACTTTGTTAGGGGGCAGGTAACTTCAGGCTCCTGAGAGAACAGGAAGAGAGAGATCAGACTGTTTGTATGGTGATATTTCCAATGGGAAAGATGTTCATTGAGCTTGAGTAAGGAGGGTTGCGAAACAAGTTTATAAAGTCTAAATCTGTTTTTACAAGCATCCTCTACAAGAATTTCTCATTTCAGCTGCTGCTAAGTGCTATACATAACAGCTTAAGTTTCAGCAGCTTTTTGAAGCTAGAATATTAAAAAAAATGTTTTCATTATAACTAAACCAAGTTACTGAAGGAAATTAGCCTAGCAGAAGGACCAAGTCATGAATGTAGCAAAGATAAGGGAATCATACCAAATAAAATACAAGAGTGGTCTGGGGGGAGCCATGTTTCTGTCTTCTAGGGGTCTGTCTGAAATTTTCATGCCTAACTGTGCTTAGTAGTAAAGGATAAGTGAGAGGGTGATGAGTCTACGTATGCTACTTTGGAGATGCAATCTGACCTGGATTTTTGATCATTTGTTTCATCCACAGCATATAAAGACTCTCCAGTCTAAGTTGGACTTAAGGAGTTGGCAGTAGAGAGATCCTGAATTTCACAAACCTGCCTGTCACCCACAGAGCCTCCACCCCTATGTTTTACAAAGAGCAGAAATTATCTTTCACAGAACTATATGTTATTAGATGTTGTCAGGGCTTGAGTGTCATGTTTGGTTGCATAAGTGGCTGGCCAGAGAAGCACAGAATTCCATCAGCTCTTCTATTCCTTTATGTTTTTCAATGTCACATCAAGAGGTTGTTGCAAAGATGCCATGATGACAGGGACAAATGGAATCCTTTTAAAGACTGGCTATAGAGGGTCTGACACAGCCTCAGGAGCTCTGGCAAACTCTGAAGGATTTTATGTGGCCTTCAGCTTGATATCCATTAACTGGAAGCTCTCTTTAAAGGAGTTAATCTTTTTCAATGAACTCAGTTGGCCTTTCTCACTTAAGTACCACAGTAGAATGTTTGCTGTGGCTTTGTAGAACCTGTGAGATGAGTATAAACTAGTAAATGAATAAAAAATCAGTAAATAAAGCAGGCAAATTTATTTCTTTGAGTTGTGGACACAAACAAGAGGAAACCTTCTTAAAAAAAACAGATTTGATTTTTGAATCAAATCTTCATACAGGCAAAGCTATTATTTTTGAAATCTGCTGCTTTTATTAAGCTTAAATATTATTGTACAAATTCTTACTTCTTATAAAGTGTTGCCTTTCACTCTTTTAAAAGATGCTGAAGTAGTTTTGTAGGTTTCCTGAATGTGTCTTTTGCTTCTTCAAAGCAATGAAAACTGTTTTGGCAGCATGTGTAATAGCTTACCATCTATACTGAAAGAATCCAATTAAAGTTCTGTGTTGAGTGAGCTGTCGTTTTATAATCACATTCTCACTGGATGACTTGCTCACAGGGTCAGACCCCACTGTTTGCATTAGAGTCTTACTGACATCAGTTCAGTTGCTCTGCTCCTCCAGTAGCCCTCAGTGAGAAAACCTGGGCAGTTGTCAAGACAAACTAGGTTAAGGTTGTAAAGACTGGATTTCTTTTCCTGCAATCGGTGCGGTGCAGACTTGTGGTTAAGATGGAAATAAAGAGCTGGGGCTGTGTAAAAACAGAATGTGTGAGAAAGGGCTGATTGCACAGACATGTTTTCCCTTCCCTATTAGAGCAGATGTCTTCCTTTGGTATAAAGGTGGCAGATACTGGGGAAAAAGTTATTTATGTCTATGTATATTGGGGTGGCGGAAGTCTACCTTGGAAATTAGTGGGTAATTATGCTTTATACATAAAATATAAATTTCCTAGCTTTCTGGAATTGTATGCTTTTAGATTTTTACATAAAAAGTTTCTAAATTGCATGTAGACAAAGAACTGAAGAACTTAATGAGGACCTAAGGAACCTTTTGGAAACTTGGCCTACTTTGTCAAAACTGTTTAAGAGAAGTAGGCAGAAATCTGAAGTAGGCTTTGTGTAAGAGATTTTTATTTGTTTACATTATGATTAATTTATACTTCTCCAGGGAAAGTGAGATATCTATCTGGTTTTTACTAGATCTTTGTCCAGAAAGCTTTATTTGTTTATTTATTTATTTATTTACAAGCTGTTATTCTGGGCTGAAATGCGTGACAAAGCAAGCCTGGAAAGGATATTAGTGGAGCAAAGGTCTCTGATTCTTTTCTTTGACAGCAGGTAGAGCCTGGTCAGTAGCTGCTCAGGATTGGCTCTGATATTCACACCAGATACTGCATGAAATTAGCACAGGAAGGAAACTCATGCATAATCAGCTGCAGAGCTGTATAGGGCATGAGCCTGTCTCGTGGTGTGAGCAGTTCGTGCTAGTTGGGAAGTAGACACACAGCTTTTTGATGTTTAGGTGAAAAGTTAACATGTATACTTGTTTTCTTATAAAGTTGTTCTAGATTTTAGTTGATGTGGTCTTAGTCTATTAATTGTTGACTTAGTCAAAATGATAAGTTGGAATAATACTTTGCTTCTCTCCAATGCCTTCAAGTTTATAAACTTCCTTCTTAGAAGGTTAAAGGAATAAACATTTGCCAAGAAAGAAAACTAACCTCTTCCTTTTGTTTTTGTTTTGCCCTGCCCTGGCAGTGTTTTAGAGCACTTTGCTGCAAGGGACCGCCACCACCACGACCTGAGTATGACTTGGTTTGCATAGGCCTCTCTGGTTCTGGGAAGACAAGTCTTCTGTCTCAGCTCTGCAGTGAAAGCTCAGAGAATATCGTGTCTACCACAGGTAGGGTGCTGCTTTTATTCCATGGTGTGCTGGAATATTGCCCAAAGATGACTACTGAAACACATAGCAAAGGCTGTAGAGAACTTCAGCCTACTTATATTGCTGTTGAAAGTACCTAATGGATCACTTTGCAGCTACCAATACTTTCTTTCAGTATTTGTTCCTATATTGGGGAATACCCATGAGAACATAGAATTTGGAATATGTTAAAAGTAAAAAATGTGTGGTCTAATGAAGCAGAACCATAACATACTGTATTGTAGACACACATTAAAATGTTTCTTTCTTCTCATTTTACTTTGATTTTTAAACAGTCTCACTATATATTGGAGAGAAGGGAAGAGAATGTGCTGTAAAATAGAATAAGACAGTGATGCTGTGAGACTTTAATTGGGATTTATTTCTGTACGTACTTGGTCCATGCTGCCTTGTGGTATATGGTAGTGACTGAAAAGAAAGAAGTAATGGAAATATGATTTTTTTTGGTGATAATCCCAGCTTTTTAGATGAGCAGCAGGCTTGTTTATGTAGTAAGGGCAGATTGTGATCAAAAGAATCAATTTACAGAAAGTTTCAGTGGTACTGAGGACTTACATAAAAACAGACAGCACAACCACAGATAAGAAGTATCTTAAGTCCAAAAAATTTGAATAGGCATCTTGATAATGGTGAACCGGAATGTCTAATACTGAAAAGCATGTTTTGATTGAAAAACCCCCAAAACAAAACAACAGCCAACAAAAAACAAACCAAGAACAAAACAGCTCCAGAAAAAACAGAAACAGACATGTGAATTCAGTAAGAAGAGGGAATACCTAGCTGAAAAGTTCAGAAAGAGGGCAGATTAGGTCATGGAGGTTGAAGAAATCAGGTTCAGTGGCTGCAGCAATTATTAAGGTTGGTTTGCTGATGGAACTGATACTAAGTGTTGTGCAAGTACCTTGTGTTTACAGTAACACAGCTTCGTCCTGTAGCTGTGGTTCATGGGCTTGAATTTCATGATTGTGCCTTAGCAACCCTAACTGTTTTTCACTGCATGTTTTCTTAATCTACAAGAACATAAGACTATTTAATACAAATGTAAGTAAAATGTAAAACAGGTACAAGAAAATAGTGTTTTTATTAACCTGTGAATAATTAACCTGTGGCCTCTGTAGTGGTGTTACTGGCAAGGTTAGAGAGATATGACAGTCAGCTCTGAGAAGGTGACTAACTCAAAAACTTAGAAGGAAATTGTAGAGTAATGAGCCTTTTTAAAATTTTTTTTATCCCTCTCTTGTGCTTTATCTTGGGATTAAAACAGATTATACTTAAGCAGTTTAGACCCTGAAATAAATAGTAACAGCAATAAATGCAAGTATAGAGCTGTCAGAGAAATTAATGAAAATACCACTAATTAAAATTAAATTGATTTTGTTTTTCTAGAGAGGTGCAATATATGATGAGGTAATTTAGGAATGAAAACTAGCTCTGGAGAATACTAGGCAGGCAAACCAAAAAGATGCACATCTAGGGTATTCAGTTTATAATAAATCTTCTTAAATGTGGCATATCAGACAATATTGTGGACTGTCCAAGAATACAATGTGACAACTTCTCCATTCAGGTTTCAAGCTATAATGTATACTTCTGCTTTTTTAATCAATGCCAATCAGGCCCATTCCATTTTTTCCCTTTTTCTAGGAAGAGTTTAGGATTTCTCTAAAGATAACAATCCCCAAAATATTTCATAGTTATTCCCTTCAGATTTTCTTGTACTTTCCTCTATTGCATCTAGCACTGATCATAGTAGTAGTACTGTAGCACCTTATTGGTCTAACCAGGGCAAAAAAATATCTTGTCTCTCTTAAATGGTAGCAAATAAACATGAAATGAAACATATTTTCTCAAAACCTCTTTACTCAGTTCACAGGTATGTAATCATGTTGAAACTACTTGTGCTAGATGGAAATAAATTGAATGTCTTTCTGGATATTTTTTGCTGAAAGAGCACACATAATTTTTCCTTTACAAAGTATTATGTATGCTTATATATATATGTGTGCACTGAACATGCAAAATTTAGTGTATAATACATTGGTATGGCTGGGAGTCTTTCACATGCCCTTTCTCCTGTCTGTCTGAATTTTCAGTTAAGGGTAAAGGTCACACTTTGTTGGCGTGGGGTTTTTTTTTTTGTTTTTTTTTTTTTTTTTTTTTTTTTGTTTGTTTGTTTGTTTGTTTTTGTTTGAGGGGATTTTTAATTTTATTTCAATTTTAAGCAAAAATCAGGCTAATAGAGGGCTCATAAATATTTCCAATGTGCTTATGACCATTTTAATACATCCAGCTAAGGTCTGTAGAAGGATCCTTCAGTTAATAACATTTATAGAAAATTAATAATACAGCTGCAACCAACACCTATGAAGTTTAAATGGAAATGGAAGAATACAGTGATTTGAATTGCACATTGTTTTCAAGGTCTCCTAAAATTTGCAGAATGATCACCTCATTTTAGTGGTAGTCTGGATTGTCCACTTTAGTTCTAGATGCAGCAAAGATGATTGTATAGAAGTATATTCTAGTAGAAGGTCTGGATGGAAGTTTTGTGTTAGATTTTGTGTGCCAGTTACTTATAATTGAAAATTGCATTGCTTATCCTGATTTATTCTTGTTCCACTCTATGGCACTCCTCCACCTCTTACCCCTTCCCACCCACTTATAACTGTCTTTTTAAACTCATTGAAATAGAATTTCTCAAGCAAAATCCAGGTACTTGATGGAAAAAGTTGTTTTTCTGAATGTATGCAATTGATTCCAAATGGCCCCTTTAACAAATAGCTTACTAATGTTCTGTATTTCTCTTCTTAGGTTTTAGTATAAAAGCAGTGCCATTCCAGAATGCAATTTTGAACGTAAAAGAACTTGGAGGTATGGCATTTATTCCTCTGTTTATAAAACATGCATGTCTAAATCTCATCATAACTGTCAGTTGTTTTAAATTGTTAGTTATTTTAAATTTTAAAATGGTAGATCAGTACAGCTGGAGTTAAAAATGTCAGCAGATAAAGTTGAGAAAAGCTGTACAAAACCTGCTCTCAAAGAGCAAAGGATAAAAAGCAGGAGGAGTGGAAGGTGTATGGTGTATCTCTTTAATGTAATTTCTTGGATTGAAGTGCTTAAGTTACACAGAAATACAAACTGGACTGTAATTTTAGTATGGCTCATGTGGCAGCTCAAGGAAATGTATGTTCCTTGTGTTTGTTGTATGTATAAACTTTCACTTATGTGAACTGGCTCAGGTAACTATGTGAATATTTGTCAAATCAAGATATTTACTGCACCACTGAAAGTGTTGCAAAGGCAGCCAACTTATAATGAGTTATATTCTTTGAGAACTGTTCTCTTGTTGGATTTACTGGATTTTGGAGCAATGGTTTTATGGTTGTAGGATTTTTTAAACTTTTCTATATACAGGCAACCTATTTGGCTCCCAATTCTGACTCTCAGTCTCAACTGAGGTTGTTTTTTAGAAGCAAGAAAACACTCTCCTGATGAGGGTTCTCATGGAGTCTAATATTCTTCTAATTTAAAACCCACTGTATCGTCTTCATATTCTAGAATTTCTGTATATTTTCTTTATTATTTGTTTAAGTAAAGTAGACTTAATATTGAGGATATTTATTAGATTTTTCAGTGAGCTTGTAACCTCTGTTAAATGATCTGGGGTAGAATTTGACTTGGTTCTTAAGGAAAGTTTCAGGAGATCTAGTTGCATAGTAGTTGACTTAACTAAACTTGTTCCAAGAAGGCTTTGAGATAAACACATGTGGAAAGCAGATAATTTCCTCTTTACTACCACTGGTCCATGGATTTAAGCATACATGCTCCTGTTTGAGCATGTATTCTGTAAAAAAACCCACCAGTAAGTTTTCTTTCATAAAGGGACCACTCCTCAGGGATAGTATAGATACTGCTTGAGTGTGTTATGTGCATTATGTGCACTTAGTTATAATGTCACTTTTTGGATTTTTCTTTAAAATAGGGTGAATCATTTGCAGTCTACTTTATACATTCTGCTACCTAAGCTATATGAAATATGTAATTCATGTAGGTAAATACAATTTTTAAATCAAGAATTGAATCTGTGTATTCTATAGCAGATCCTTGTTAAAGTCTCTTAACCTTTTCTGATCATGGGTGGTATGTGTGTTTTGAGAAATCTTATCTTAGGGGAGAGTTTTGGCTCATGATGAGGAGTAATCCAGAATACTTGGTTTGTTGTTTTCATCCATTTATCTCTTCTCAAAGACAGAAGGACTGTCAGAATTTTTTACTATGCCTTTTACCTCCTTTTTCCTTTGACCTATGGGTGTTTGCATGTCTGTTTTTAAAAATTATGTAATCTTATATGAAATATTGCAGAAAAATGCTGATTTCGTTACCTTTTCATTGTCTGGTAAGAGAGCAAAAGCAAGCTTCCAAAAGTTTGTTTTTTTCCAAAAGTTGGTGGTCACTAGTGGTGTTCCCCAGGACTCATTATGGTCCCAGTTTTGTCTAATATCTTTATTGATGGTCTGGACAAGGGGATCAAGTGCATTCTTGGTTTGCAGATGACGGCCTGGTGGGTGGGAATGCTGATCTGCTGGAGGGCAGGAAGGCTCTGCAGAGGATCTGCACAGGCTGCATCGATGGGCTGAGGCCAGGGGGGTGAGGTTCAACAAGGCCAAGTGCCAGGTCCTGTCCTTGGATCACAACAGCCACAGGCAGTGCCACAGGCTGGGGCAGAGTGGCTGGAAAGGACCTGGGGGTGCTGGTGACAGCAGCTGAACATGAGCCAGGGAGTGCCCAGGTGGCCAAGAAGGCCAATGGCATCCTGGCCTGGATCAGCAATGGTGTGGCCAGCAGGGCCAGGGCAGGGATTGTCCCCTGTGCTGGGCACTGGTGAGGCCACAGCTCCAGTGCTGTGTCCAGTGCTGGGCCCTCACTGCAGGAAAGACACTGAGGAGCTGGAGAGAGTGCAGAGAAGGGCAGTGGGGCTGGGGCAGGGGCTGGAGCACAAGTCCTGTGAGGAGCAGCTGAGGAAACTCCTCAGCTGAGGGAGTATTGAGCAACCTGGTCTAGTGGAAGGTGTTCCTGCTCTTGGGGGGAGATTGGAAGTAGATGATCTTAATGGTCCCTTCCAATCCAAAGTGTTCTATCATTCTTTGTCTTACAGACAGCAAAAAGGTGCACTCTTTGCTGGATTAAAATCTGCCTGATGGCTGGGCCCAGTGAGTGGTGGTGAGTGGAGCTACATCCAGCTGGTGGCCGGCCATGGGTGGGGTTCCCCAGGGCTCAGTATTGGGGGCATTTCTGTTTAATGTCTTTATCAATGATCTGGATGAGGAGATCAAGTGCACCATCACTCACTTTGCAGATGATACCCTGGTGGGTGGGAATGCTGATCTGCTGGAGGGCAGGAAGGCTCTGCAGAGGATCTGCTGGAGGGCAGCATCGATGGGCAGAGGCCAGGGGGGTGAGGTTCAACAAGGCCAAGTGCCAGGTCCTGTCCTTGGATCACAACAGCCACAGGCAGTGCCACAGGCTGGGGCAGAGTGGCTGGAAAGGACCTGGGGGGGCTGGTGACAGCAGCTGAACATGAGCCAGGGAGTGCCCAGGTGGCCAAGAAGGCCAATGGCATCCTGGCCTGGATCAGCAATGGTGTGGCCAGCAGGGCCAGGGCAGGGATTGTCCCCTGTGCTGGGCACTGGTGAGGCCACAGCTCCAGTGCTGTGTCCAGTGCTGGGCCCTCACTGCAGGAAAGACACTGAGGAGCTGGAGAGAGTGCAGAGAAGGGCAGTGGGGCTGGGGCAGGGGCTGGAGCACAAGTCCTGTGAGGAGCAGCTGAGGAAACTCCTCAGCTGAGGGAGTATTTATTCTGGAGAAGAGGAAGGTCAGAGGTGCCTTCATCACTCTCTACAACTGCCTGAAAGGAGATTGTGGCCAGGTAGGGATTACTCTCTTCCAGTGACAGGATGAGAGGACATGGTCTCATGCTGCACCAGCGGAGGTTCAGACTGCACATCAGGAAGAATTTCTTCACGAAAACAGTTGTTAAACATTGGAATGACTGCCGAGGGAGTCACCATCCCTGGAGGTGTTCAAGAAACTACTGGACATGGCTCTTAGTGCCGTGGACTAGTTTACAAGGTGCTGATAGGTCAAAGGTTGTACTCAATGATCTTAGAGGTCTTTTCCAACCTAAAACATTCTGTAATTCTCTAGTCAGCATTTAACCTTTTAGCTGAGAAATGTGTTCCTGTTTGATGAGGGTAAAACCTGAGCTTTCTGGAGTAGAGACGGCTTCTCTCTTGCTCCTATATGAAAATAAAACATGTTTCATTTGTCACTCTGAGACATTACTGTTACATTTTGTTTTGGAATTTCTGCTTCTGATGTTGAAGAGAAACTCATGTTTTGCCTGATTGCTGGGGATTTTTTTGTCTTATTCCTGGTTTTTGCCTTCAGTCATTATGCTATTGTTATATAATTTCTCTTTTCTGTAGTGCTGAAGTCTTCTCCAGACATTTGATCTTGGAAACTTGAAGAGAGGCATCTTTCCTTAACAACCACTGCCTGTTGTTAGATGTTATTTACAGAGTGACATTCTATATAGTTTTAATTTTTTGTTGTTTTGACTTTTTAGGTTTAGGTAACATCTTCATATGTCATCATACAGTAACATATTAACAGCCAGTATTTAAAACACAGCAGAAGTTATACTGCTTAAGGTTCTTATATTCAGCTGCCAAGCATTTATGTGAAACAGATACTGACTGTGTAGTATCCTTTCTGTTTTGTTGAAGCAGTATTCTTCCTTGAGGTCAATGAAGTTTTTACTGTGCTAGTTGTTTCCAAAGCTGATAATGAAGCCAGTTTTTATTTCTTCGTTTCTACAGGGATTGTAAAATTTTTAAATTTACAGGATTGTAAAAATATTTTTCAGGCAAAATATACAGAACATAATCTCCCTTCTTTAATCTATTAAAGGACTGATTATCTCTTCATTCTCCTTTAAGATTTAGGGACAGGGAACAAAGTTTGTTGTGCTCTCTTTGCAGAAGTTTTTCTTCGAAGCACATGATTCTAGAATATTAAAAATTCAACACAATTCCTGGTTTTTTATTGGTTTTGTTTCCTAAGACAGGAACTTGCAGTCCTAACAGAAAATAAAGGGTTTATCCAGTTTGATAAATGGTAAATGTTTTGTTTAAAAACCTAGAATTTGATCCTGAAAAAGTAAAAATGTATAGAGAGCTTTCATATATAACATTAAGGTTTCTTAAATTACTTGAAAAGAAAGTCTTGCTTTATTTGCTGACCAAGTTGAACTGCCTGTTCTCTAAGTTACTATTTTGCTATACCAATAATCCCTTCCTTGTCCCCAAGAAGCTAAAAAAAAAATTAACATTTTTTCCCCCAAAAAATTTGGTCTAAAAGATAATATGTATAATTTAAATTATTGTGGAGATATGCCATGCCCTAGTCCACATTCTTTCAGAATGTACTATTACCAGGACAATTGGAAATATCTGTCTTTATTATGCAACTCAGCTGAGTAATGGTATGGAAAGAAACTACAGTTGTGATGCTTTCCTCTGACAGTGCAGTAATTTGTTGTGGGAACTAAGGGTGACATTGTGTGTGATGATCATAGAGAAGAGTGGGAGAAGAGTAAAAATCTGTCTCAAGACAGATAATGGAGGTGTAAATGCAATAGGAAGCTTTTGCTTTGGTTCTAACAGATTCCAACCTGGAGACACAGTGCCTAAAAGCACCATTTATTCCTCTTTTTTAAAGTCATTTGCACTTGTAATGCTTTCAAAACAGAATATAAAGCTGTGGTTTAGATATTTATTCAGGTCTGTATCAAGATTTAAGGTCCATCC